CTTATTAACCTCAGGGGCCAGGTTGTCCAAACAACTTTAGCAAGTTCTAATTCGTCTTTGTCGTAAGCGTATATCCACACATGCAGGTCCAGCGAAGGGAAGATCCCACGAAGACCAAGAGTGGTGGCTTACAACTTGAAACAGAAAAACTAAGACGCAAAGAATTACACAGTGACAAAATTAGAAGTAAAAACGTATCTAAGTAACTTAAACTGACCTCACAAAGCAATTTAGGCACTTCAGAAATATGGGATTACACCCAAAAAAATTAGTAANCAAAACGTAAGATAATCAACTAACTCTAAGTAACTTAAACTGACCTCACAAAGCAATTTAGGCACTTCAGAAATTTGGGATTACACCCAAAAAAAAATTTGTAATCTACTTTTTTTTTTTTTAAAAAGAATACATTGACTCCATTCTTAATTAATATTATTCTTATAATTTAAATTATTTATATATTTTTTATTTTTTTTTTTTTTAATAATTTGTACTCGAATTGTACTTTAGTAAGCACTACAAGGGTGCGAATCACAGCCATACAAATGCAATACAATCATTTAATGAACAGTCTTTTGCAATAAAAATCACCAATACGAATTTCAATTACTCGAAATTTTATCTTTTTTTGTTTTCTTTTTTTTTCCAAACTCTACTCTTCTAATATACATAACTATATGTACACATATATTACTATACTTATTATTATTAATGTATATTTCAATCTCATTAACCCTAAAGGACTTTGTCCAGCTTTACCTTGTGTAGAAAGTGTATTAGCTCACTAAATAGATACAAATTAGAATTATTAAAAAAATCTTTTAAATTATTACAATTGTTAAAAAAGGTATACGTGCTTCTAGCGGCTGAAAATTTACTACACTGAAAAATAAGGTGATCACTAGTCTCTCTGATTCCACATACATCACACAAATCATTTACACCTCTTAGAAATTTGCTTAGAAACGTCCTACCATATGTGTGCCCCATCATCAACCTGTTAACTAATTTGATATCATGAACACCAAAATTACATTTTTTGTCAGTAAACCAAGGACGCCTTTTGATATCACTGATATTACCCGCAAAAAAACTACCTTTAGTACAACTAATTTCTCTAAACTCCATTTCCCACTCAGTCCAAATAGCACTTTGAATCTTACATACAGCCTCCCCCAAGGTGAGATCCATTTCGATGGGTAATCCCTCNCTTCCCACTCAGTCCAAATAGCACTTTGAATTTTACATACAGCCTCCCCCAAGGTGAGATCCATTTCGATGGGTAATCCCTCACTAACTGCAGCTCTTGCAAAATGATCTGCTTTTTCGTTAATTCCAATACCTACATGACTAGGCACCCACACCAACATGGCACTGACGCAATTTGACTTAGCAATCATATTGTGAATGGACGCAACTATAAAATTTGTAGAAGCCTTCTTTCCTATCAAACGTACCGCCGCTAGGCTATCCCTGACTATGACCCACCTGTTTATGTTTTTTTTAAGTAAAAAGCTAACTGCTTGTCTAATCGCCACTAACTCTCCAAACGTGGATGAATATTTCCCATCCAGCTTAAACATTTCCGAAATTTTCTGCTGAGGGTCATAAAAAGCCAAACCTACAACATTATTCACCACTGATGCATCCGTAGCCAACAGATAACATCCTTCCTCAGCCCATTTGCTAAATTTATATCTGAATATGCTATTAAGTTGCTCTTTACTAAACTCACACTTGGACCTTCCCAAAGAAGAACTCTCCACACGAAAATTAGTATGTCTACTAAAAGTAACATTTACATTAATTTTGTTAAATAGATGTCGAAACTTGGAATAAATAAAACTGTAGCTCGATTTAACAGAGCTCTCGCCCATCAAATCTTTCCTCAGTTCTTCATTCACAAGCCATTGCTTGCCTAATTCCTTGGCCACAAGCCATTCCGCCCTTTTAAGAGGCGGCAGCTCACCAGCCAATGCAAATCTCGCATNAAATAAATAAAACTGTAGCTCGATTTAACAGAGCTCTCGCCCATCAGATCTTTCCTCAGTTCTTCATTCACAAGCCATTGCTTGCCTAATTCCTTG